TAGAGAGTGACACTGTGGGCATTTCCTTCACTCTATTCTCTGAGCCCCTCATATGAAGTCTGTGTATGTTCAGCTCAGTAACTTGGCCCAGTATATATTTCACACAACATGCAGCAAATCACAAAGATTTAAACATAAGAGCTCAGCCTGCTTTCCTCACTGACTCACATACAGTATACCTTCCATACAGGCTCTCATTCTCCACAGTGTAGTGCTTACAATCAATGGCTGAAGTTACATTTACTGGAGCACTGTACTGTGGTACAATTTCGAGTGTTTCCATTATCTTCCACTTTATACTTCTGCTTCAGGGTTTTTCCTACATAGCCAATAATGAGGTGGACACTATTGTCAACTTTCATCCTGCCCCCAGCTCTCAACAAAACTCTGACGAATGCCTTCATGGAAAACACTTCTCTGACGGCCGTTGCACTTTGTAGATTTCTGTGGTTTGTAACTGCAGTTGTGGCATTACACCGATATGGTGGCACTGTATCAGAATCAGCACAGTGCACTGGGAAAAGTGTTGCCAAAATTTCTTAAGGGGAAGAAAAGAGCCATCTGTTTTTGGCTGGCCTGCAGCAAAGTGGGTACCAGCCAAGTGGCAACCTCTAATGGCCACTTGAGGCTGGCTCCAGGACCCAGTCAGTCCCCATAGATCCCCATGTTAAAGGAACAGTGTAAGTTTTAGGGGGACTTAGTGGCATCTAGTGGTGAGGACTGCAGATGACAACCAGGTGAAACTTTTCCTGGTTAGAATTTCTTCAGGAGGTTTTTATCGCAAGCTGAATTATCCACAGAGGGCTCCTCCTCTCCAAAACAAGCAGACCAGGTGATTTTAAAGTGTTAAAAACGCTAAATAAAGCAGTTTCATGGTACAAATCAGTGCATCTCTGACACTGTTTGGCATGGCTGAGACAAGCAGCTGGTCCACAACATGCTATTGTGTGCTCACCTTTTTCTTATCCAGACATTCAGGAGACTTTTTCCGTGCGCCAAATGGGAGCCGAATTATCCAAAGAATCTCCTCCTTTCAAAATCAAACAGACCTGGTGATTTACACTGGTAAAAACACTGAATAAAGGGGGTCTGCCCATTGGTCCGACAGCCCATTGGTCCGACCATATTAAACCCATTGTTCCGAAGTCCCGTTGTTCCGAAATCATCATGATGCCCTGTGGTTAAGGTCTGGTTAGGTTTAGGCACAAAAACCACTTGGTTAGGGTCAGGAAAAGATCATGGTGTGGGTTAAAATGAAAAAGAAAGTGGCAAACGCATAAGCTGTGAGCCTGCTCCGCCTCAAGCCTTTCCCAGCTGACCCAGAGCCAGTCGCGGCGCACCATCAAGGTAGAAATACGCCCGCTGGGAGCCGTTCAGCACCGCGGAGGACTCCCCACACAACCCTGATCCCAGAGTTAATGACAGGAGGTTATGGTGTTTCACTCTCTCCTCTCTATGACACTTGTATCTTGACCAGTAACCTACTTTTGTTGCGTTGCTGATCCTCTGTGGTACACAAACACAGTATAGCCTAGTATAATCACATATCGGAACAACAGGACGTCGGACTAATGAGAGGTCAGAACAATGAGAGGTCGGAACAATGCTACGGCACCGAAGAAAGCACTTTCATGTTACAAATCCATGTATTTCCAATGCAGTTTGGCTATTGATGGGGAGCGGATAGACGAGGTGGTTAAGTTATTGAAAGGCACTGATGTGAGAAAAGCCCCAGGTCCTGACGGTATATGTGGCCGTACATTGCATCACTGTGCTGTGCTGCTTGGTGGTGTTCTTAAACATATTTTTCAAATGATAGTTGATTCTTTTCAGTATCCCAGTACGTGGAAAATATCTCATATTGTGCCACTACCGAAGAATAGTAGCCTAGACAGCCTAATGACTTTAGGCCAATTGCCCTCACTTCATTGATAATGAAAATCCTGGAGAAAATAATTAAGAATGAGATTCTCACAGCTATCAAGGGTAAACTCAACCCTCTACAATTTGCTTACCAGGCTGGAAAGGGTGTTGAGGACGCTAAGATTTTTATTCTTAACGCCTTGTATAAACATCTGGAGAAACCTAAAGCCCATGCTAGACTGTTGTTTGAAGATTTATCCTCCACTTTTAATCACATGCAACCTTGTCTTTTAATCGAGAGACTGATTTCTGATTTTAAACTACCACATCAACATGTTTTATTGATTTTAGACTTCCTGACCAACAGACAGCAGAGGGTCATTGTGAATGGTCATTTGTCTGACATTGTTGTAACTAATACCGGTTCACCACAAGGGTGCGTATTGTCACCTCTTCTTTATATCTTATACAATGACAGCTGCAGATCATCTTGTGACAGCAGCTTCCTTGTTAAGTTTTCGGATGATACTGTGTTGTTGTCTCTCCTTCAGGGTGCCCAACACAACCATGGTGTGGCTCTCCCTGCATTTGTAGATTGGTGTAAGGACAACTTTCTAGAGTTAAATGCATCCAAAACTAAAGAAATGATGATTGATTTTAGACGTAACAAGAAGGCCTTCACTGAGAGTGTCATAGATGGAGAGAAGATTGAAACTGTCAGCTCCTATAAATATCTAGGCACTGTGTTTGACAACCAGCTTAAATGGGATGTTAACACTGAAGCACTGGTCAAACGTGGACAGCAGAGGACTCATCTCCTTCGAATGTTAAATTCTTTTTCTGTCAGTCCAGTGATTCTTTGTTGTTTTTATCAGTCCTTCATTGAAAGCCTTTTGACTTATTCTTTTATCTGTTGGTTCAAAACCTGTCACTCAGGGACAAGAATAGCCTGAACAGAGTTGTGAAAATTTGTTCCAAGATTATCGGACTTAAGCAGAGAGACCTAGGTTCACTATGGGAGCAACAGGTTCTGAGGAAGTCACACAACATTCTAAGTACTTCCGGGCATGTTTTAGCAAGTGAATTTTCACTATTGCCTTCAGGGCATCGTTACGCCCAACCTGCTTGTAAGGGTAATCGCTTTTCCAAGTCTTTCATCCCCTCTGCTGTCCGATTGTTAAACACATCCTTATGAACTGTATTGTGTGTATTGTGCATTAGGTACTGTGTACCTCTATGTATTTTTATCATCCAGTGCTGGTATTGATTATTTTTAATGAACGTATTTATTGATGTTTTCTTCACATTTTAATGTAATTCATCATGGCGACTAACAGAATTTGCACACAACTGTCAATTTTCTTTCTATGTTCTATGTGTTGTGTGTGTGTTGTTGTGCGAGCTGTCAAATGAAATTGTCCTTTAGGGGATTAATAAAGTTGTCTTGAATTTTGAATCTTGAATATTGCTGCAGGCGGCTAGTCCAACACATGCTCATGTGTATTCACCCGTTTTCTCTGATAATTTAATATCCAGACATTCACAAGGTTTTCACCAGAAGCTGAATTATCTACAGAGGTCTCTTCCTCTCCAAAACAAACAAACAAACCAGGTGATTTAAATTGCTACTTTCACAAATCAGTGTAACTCCAACACTGCTTATTGCAGCTGGGCTTCTTACTATGGTGGCTGACATGAAAATGGAGCTAGTGTTTGGTTCATCCATTTTGGGCTCCTGTAGAAACCTGGCCATAGAACATGGTGACCTCCATGGTGCACATGTGTGCACATGATCAGGATGGTACCACCGCTACCTCATCTTGAACCAGGAAAAACCCTGTTTCTTCTCTACATTTAGGAAAATATTGGACTTTTTACAGCACTACATCCTTTTAATAACATTAGTTACTATTTAGTTTGCAGATCCAGATTAATAATACAAAATATAATCAATTATGATGTAATACAGATTAAGATTAAACTTTTTTGAGCTCTTGGGGGAAATCCAAAATACACCCACCAGATAAAATCAGCCCTTTCAGCAGAGAATGTTGGCATCATATGTTTCTGCAAACTACGGATATGTTACATTTGCCTGTTTCATTTGTGTCATATCAGTGTTGCTGAAGTGATGTAGTATATGAGCTGACTTTGATCAGGAGGAGGACAAGATTGTGGATGGTGTATCACACAGGTGAGACGCCAGTCAAGCTGCAGACCACAGTCCGCTGTTTGAGACCAACAACAAGACTGGTTGTTTTATAGCCAGACATCACTGTGTCTTCCAGCAGCTTTTTAGCCACCAAATGTCTGTTTTTTAATACCTGTTGCTGTGTTTCCAGCTGGAATAGTACCACCAAAGCAGGTTTTTTTTTCGACATTTCCAACAATATTCTGAGCCAAAATGGGTCAATGAATTAGCCACATAATAACATACAAGTGTAACGCATCTGTGGTTTGCAGAAACAGACAAAGCTAACATTTATTTTGGCAACTGGGCTGGATCAATTACATAAAGTAGATAAAATTAGCCCCACATTTAACAGCTACAACATTATGAACATGTTAGAAGGTTCAGTGTGTAATATTTATGGGGACTGCAGATTGCATCCAGCTGAAGGCTCTGGCCAGAATTCCTTTTGTGTTCTTTGTTCAGGAGGTTTTTACCACGAGCCGAATTATCTGCAGAGGTCACTTCCTCTCCTAAACTGACCCGATGATTAAAACCAGTAAAAACACTGAATAAAACAGTTTCACATAAAACAAATCAGTGTTTCCTGATGAACTCATCATGAAGGGGCTGCTGAGTACTTCCTCCACCTCAGCTTACAATGATCTGATCTCTGTCACAGACACAGAAAATATGTAATGATATGTAATGATGACCTGTGTATTCCACTTGAAATGAATCATACCAATCGGTACAGTACAGTCGGTGACATTACAGACACAAACACACTTTGCCAGTGAGCCTGTTTACCTTCCTGACACTTTATTCACACGGTGCAATTGATGCACACGCCTGCAACGTGTTGACTGTGGGGAGTAATAGACCTGCCATGCCTTACTTTACCATGTAATAACAGTACATGCTGGATAAGATGAATTGACTGAGTGTATCTGTGTTGTCTCTCCAGGTACACAGTTCTGGTGTCTTCTGGACATTGTACCCATTAAGAATGAGAAGGGCGAGGTGGTTCTGTTCCTCGTGTCCCACAAAGACATCACGGACAAGAAGAAGGACCAGGATCCAGAGCAAGGACCCGACACAGGTGAGTTTATATGAGTTACACCTGCTTCCAGTTCTGCCCTGTTTATCTCCTGTAAAGCTGGTATTTATAACGTAATGTAATCTCATCATGCAGGATGGTTTTCTTTTCAGCTGTTAAGTGCCACTGCAATTACTGTACCTCCAAGCAAACAACAATTAAGCTCTGATTAGTAATTTTCATCCCTTCTTTTGTGCTGCGTCTTCTCCCCAGTGTAAATCCAACCCTGATTAAATAACTGTGTCTGTCAATTTGAATATTGTTGCATTAATATTAACGACTTTCTCTAATAAAATGAATGTGGTGAGCTATAAACATTCTGTCAGGGATGACACACAGCTTGTGATAATGCAGATACTTGGTTACAATTGAAATTAGCAGGTGGTATTTTGTGAGCTAATTAGAGGCAGTCAGGAATTAATTGCTGGCAGGAAATATGCAAACTGCACTGACGTCTTTTCTGTTTACAGTAACTGACATTAAGACTTGACGAATTAAAACTGCATCTGGTAAACTTTAATATTCTTATATTTGAGATTTGAACTATTCCTCAGTGTTAGTGACTCTGTCCTCCCAAAACAACATACGTTTACGTGACAAACACCTTTAGCAGTGACATTAAGTGACGTTATCATAGAGCAACAAAGTCCACATAAGAAGGATATCAGAGGGGAAGGGTCCAGCTGAGGACTCCACGCCTAGGGACTCCAGATAATGAGAAGACAGTAGGGTCTTGAGTCGGGGTCAAGCAGCAACCTCCAGGGCTGAAAAAGGAAGTGTTTGTAACTCACAAAAATTAAAATTAGCATTACCACAATTAGTTATTACTGTTACTGCATCGTGCTGACCAAGCTAGTGTTAAGGTTAGCTCGACCCTCTCGCCCAATGCTAAACCCAATGTGCCCAGGAAAGCCACTCAGACTTGCTTTCAAGTTTTTTCCTCGCCACCACTCGCATTGTTGCAGCGAAAAAAAATCCCCTGCGGCCCTGATCGCATTTTTCCCATAGACCACCATCATAAAAATAAGTGTAAAAAACACATACTGACTGTAAAACTGTTACAGGACACCCTGAACTGCAATCAAGGTCATTTCTGATTGATTCTTTTTGATCCATGGAGGTTTTATTTCTGTAAAACTTTCTTCAAGCCGAGAAAATCAATTTAAAAGTTCTGTGACGTGATTAAAATTTAAAGTCCAGCCCAGTCGAGTAGGAACTTGAGGACGGAGGCAGCACTACTGCACACATTCAGTTGGCTGCATACCACAAAAGTAAACCTAGAGGCTGAAAAACTTTTTTTGGCTTGTGTGCTAAGTGAACAGTTCTCACTAGAGTGAATATTCCACAAACAGATGGGTGACGTCACCGTAGCCACGTTCATCTTTTATACAGGTCAAAACATTGGAGCTAATACAGGGGACAGCTGTTCTTTTCTTTTCCCAAGCAACAGTCATCACTCTTGTTGCGTGACCACTTTCTGTGTAATTGAAACCATGACGACAAAGATTCCCCGAACCTTGACAAAAAACTTGTTTTAAAGGAGTTGCGTGCAAAATTTAGAACGTATCCATAGGTGTGTTTCCATCCATCTCTTTGTATGTGCATTTTCAGTCAATGCATGAAAACCCCTGAGTGGAAACCCCAAGTTTAGGGGAGGTGGAAACGTTAGGTAAATTAATTTGCACTTGTATAGCTCCTTTCTAGTGTCCGACCACTCAAAGTGCTTTTACACTACGTCACATTTACATGTTCACACACTGGTGGCCGAGGCTACCATACAGGGTGCCACCTGCTACTCAGTAACCATTCACACGCTCGTGCACACCAATGGAAGCACCATCGGGAGCAGTTTGGGAGTCAGTATCTTGCTAAAGGATGCTTTGACATGCAGATTGGAGGAGCCGGGGATTGGACCGCCAATCTTCCCATTAGTGGACAACCCACTCCCGGTGCACTGATAAAAAGTCAGTGTGACGTAGCGCAATGGAAACAGATGCGGTGAATAAATGACATATAGTCATGACACTGCAAGCTTTCTGTTGATGTACGCACACAGAGCTGTTACCAGAACTCCAAACTTTCTATGTGTGCTCTCTGTGTGTCTTTAGTTATGTCGTCTTGTTGCGCCCTCTTCTTCTGGAGAATTAGCGCCACCTGCTGCTTATTTCAATTAACCAACTCCCAATATTTGCAGAACCGTAGTGGATAGAAAAGCACATACATTCACATTTTCATTCTGCCGATTTTCTAGAAACTCAGTTAAAATTTCCTTCACATTCTGGATAGAAACCCAACTTATGATTGTGCGCATGGTTCTCAACATGAAGGTGGCTGAGTCGGAAGATGGGCGCTATGCTCCTGTGACCATGTCAGTCCCGCTATCAGCAGTAACATTGGCGATTAACTAGCCAGTGGGCCTAACACATCGGCACTCACATGTGCCAGTCCGTCTACCAAAGCATCAGATGTCATTACCCCACCATATCTTTACACAGCTGCCATATTAATACTCTGAATGTTGCATACAGAGCCTTTAAACCAAACCATGATTTTTCCCTAACCCTTACCAGGTTGTTGTTGCTGCAAAAACAAACAAGCAAACAAAAAAACATTGATTAACCAACATGTGTTGGAGGTACAGACAAATGATGTCCTGTCGATTGGGGCGTCACATCAGAAGTCTTTATAGCAAGCAGGGTATTTTGTCTTCTAATTTGGAGGCCTTCTCATCTCAGTCTATTCATTTTTTTGTCTCACTTTGTTAAAATAAATTCTGTACGCCTTGAAAGCCAACCTTCAAGCTGCAGGGCAACAATGAAACCTATAGTTTGCCAGGATACTGCACGTTATGAAGTGAGCCCAGAGCCAGTTGATTCGCTTACTTTATGAGTTTTTTTTTTTTTTTTTTTGGCCTGTGTGCTGAAACTCAGTTCCCCCACCTGCCCAATAAAAACATATATGATTGCTTGGTTGTATTTCTGTCAGAGCACACACTATCGATTGACCCTCCATCAGCCCAGAGTTCTTTGGGGGGGTTTCAAACTGTATTTGGTACTCCTGTGAAAACAGAGTGAGAAATCCCAGCATGCAAAGCTGTAAGAGCAGATTTCAGAGGTGTGTTATGAGTCTGAAGGGATGACACTGTGTTCAGAAACTCTGCATTCAATATTTTGCAATCCTGCAGACTTCATACGGCAAACACTGAATACACAGTTATTACAAACATTCAAATCTAACTTTTAAACCTCCAAATCCTGTTGCCTGCTGAGATCACTGCAGAGAATGTGAGAGTTGAATAGCAACCCTGTAGAGAGACGGCGAGAGAAGCGGAGTAATCAAGACTCTTAAGATGAAGTGGAGTGTTTAAAATTTTAGTTTTTTTAGATTAGCTTTCGGAGCTGCTGTCTGCGGTGCTTCCTGGTGGGGAAGAGCACCTGCTTGAAATCACTTAGCCAATTTTCCCCCACTTGCACAGGCCCTCTCGTTTGGCTGAATATCTCATCGCCTTACAGCCCAAATGATTGAAGCCTGCTTTCATATTCTCTGGCTGTGTTTCACGCAACATATGACTTATGACATGTCAGATTCAAGCTGCCAGATTTGGTGTGCGGTACACACCACAGGGGACAGAGGACAAACACCAAAGTAGAGGGAAAGGGAAGGTGAGCGAGAGACAAAAGAGACCTTAAATTGCTTCTATTTCTGATTCATGATCAGACAGGACTGTGACCGTTAACATAACATTCAACTCTCTGCTAAATTAGGAACCTCTGGATGTGAGAGCGAGATGAAAGAGAGGAAAAAGTAACAAGTGGAAAATGAAAGAAAGAAAAGACTTTGACATTTCTGATGTGATGAGTTGACACAAACAAGCGCGTTTACCTGCTTGTGCTCCTGCTCAGCGGGAGTCTGCTGACTGGATGAACAGCTCACTTTTGGCACTTAACGCAGCGTGATGTGGCTTTTCAAAATGCACAATCAGTTCGTGAGATAGAAGGGGACTGACAAGGACAGGAAAAGACATGGAACACATTTAGGATGGAAAAATATCAAAGAAAGAGAGACTTAAATGTGTCTCACAAAAAGTGCCATTAAAAACACACTGGTGTACGCTACAACGTACTCACACACACACTCACACACGTATATATATATATACACACTGTTAATTGACTGTATTTAGAATTTAAAATGTATAGCCAGCCCATTTTCCCCACCAGCACACACACGCTCCCCCACAGAACACACTGTAAATTCTGTAAAGCAGCCATATCAGTAATCACAGCATAGTAAGAAGAATCTGCCCTGAGGCCTGTAAATACCGTCTCCTTCTTTACATTCCTCACCTGCCAGCAGCAAATGCATGGAGAGCAGTTACAGGTAAAAACAGACCGCACCTGTCTCCATGTGTGTATGTGATTGAACACCTATAGTGCCGGGGGGGGGGGGGGGGGGGGGGGGGGGGAGGGGGGGGGGGGTGGGGGGGCGGGGGGGGGGGGGGGGGGGGGGGGGGGGGGGGGGAGGGGGGGGGGGGGGGGGGGGTGAGATGATAATCAATACCACTCTGTGTGCTGAATATGTAGCTGCAGCTAGTAGCCAGTTAGCATAGCTTAGCACAAAGACAAACAAACAGATTAAGTGATTTAAACTGGTAAAAACACTGAATAAAGCAGTGTCGTGGTAAAAATCAGTGTTTCTCCGATGCTGTTTGGCATGTCAGAGACGGGCAGCTTGTCCAACACATGCTAATGTACGCTCACCTTTTATTTAATCCAGACTTTCAGGAGGTTTTTACCGTGAACCAAATTATCCACAGAGGTCTCCTCCTCTCCAAAACAAACAGACCAAGTGATTTAAACTGGTAAAAATACTGAATAAAGCAGTGTCATGTTACAAATCAGTATTTTTTTCAAAGCTACTCTTTGGGTGAACGTGGAGATCTTTGTAAATGAGGTCCTGCTCCCTGTGTAGACATAAACGCCTCATTCCAAGGTATCGAAAACACAATGATTCTTATTTTCAGGTGATTATACACCAAAGAAAACATATTGTATTCTGTTTCTGCCAATATATTCCCCTAAATCCTAAACACTGCACCTTTAAGGTAACAAAATAAACCTATCAGAAGGTTAATTTTGTCAACATGTTAAAACTTGTTTGGTTAATCTGGTTCAAATCATGGTTGCCTCAAATTCTACCTGCTCTTAAACCAATTGATTGGTCAATGGGGGGAAAAATCTGCACGTTATCTCTGCATTATTTGAATCGGTCACTCTACCTGTACGACCTTGTAGCGCTGTGTGTTCACTGAACTGTTTCTGACTAAAGGTGCGTGTCCTTTTTAAATTATTGCATATTTACACTCTGCTACAGACGCCAGCAGTGTGATGAGGTGCTGAGCAGTTTGGTATTGTTTTTCTGTTCGCTGAGAGTTGCAAATCCATCCAATCACAGTGAAGGAAGAGAAGAACAAATACCAAGTACTGATCAACAACAATAACAGTGAAGAGGAAATCAATACTGTTAGACCAGTGGGTCCGTCTGCTCTCCCTACATGCTTCAGCCTTCCTTTCATTCAAAACAAGGACCAGAACGAGTACCTCACCTTGTGCTGACATTTTAACTTCTGTGGCTGTTCTGTATCGTCTTAGCTGGAATTAAAACACTTTGGTGGACACTCAGCCATATGAAAGTAACTCTAGTGACAGTTCAGCCAATGAGAAGTTGGTCAGACATGAGCATATCGACCAAACAACCAATAAACTGACCAGAGGGAATAAAGTAAAATGTGATGTTTTGCAGGGGATTATGGGCCAGACTATTTCTTGGATAGGACTAGTAGTTTCCTGGAGTCTGTAGAGTGGTGTCGACCTTTTCATCTAAGTCCCAGAACGAAAGCAAAGAAGCGTATTTTTCAAAATGTCTAAGTGTTCCTCTTAAGGTGTCGAAACCAGCTACGACCATGTCTAAAGACAAAAGTGTCTAGAGGTGTTCTGATGATGTTCACACTCTGTTGGGGTATAAAGCCGTTATAGAAAGGTTCAAGATGCAGTAATGCACACAGTGTCTGAAGATATTTGGAGAATATTGGCAGTTTAATTTGATAATACTGGCAAAAAGCTGGATTTCATCTTTTAAAGTAGCAGGAATCCCTTGCTTCAACGCAGTTCAGCAGACAAACTGTCATCTTCACCAGCACTATGTGTCTAGTTTATCCTGTTTAAAGCTTCCCAGAGGAACATTGTCTCTAACCCTACAGATTCACACTACAACACAACCACAATACCTCATTTGTACATCTGTCAAAACAGCTGTTGAAGATAGGAAAATGTCTGAGTCTAAGTCTCAACAGCACAGTACATTCAGGGAGAAAGAAAGAATCTCAGTATCTGTGTTTAGTTTCTCCACCATCTGAAATCCATCCTGGATACCATGAACAAATTAAATTTAGTGGCTGAATATGAAAATGATTTGGTTACAGGGGTTGTTAAGCATGGCATCATATTATGGACACAGAGGAGCAATCATAATCGGAAATGTAAAGTGGAAATGGAGACAACAAGAGGATTTTCCATTGCGACGATGGTTTAACAGAAAATAACTCCCTTAATCTACCTGCTGCATTTCTTCATCTTCTTTCCTTCTTTACTTTATCTGATCTTATCCTTATTTATTTAGTGAATGACTTAGACTTCTTTAATGTCCATCAAACTTTACATAAAATGGAAATTTGTCTTTGACAGTGGCATAAAAAAAACCCACAACACAGACGAATGACAAAAAACAGGTAAGAAAACAGATCTGGATGTCAGCCCAGAGCATCAAAGTCTACCTAAAGAACACTTGTTTAGTCGATAAAGAGCCACAGAGGCAGACAGAAGGTCAATATCACATCAAATATTTACGCAAACTCTCGAGCAGCATGTGTACATCTGAGTATAGGCCTGACACAGAGGAGTTATGAGCTCACATACTGGGAAATCCACCCTAAAACATGTTGACAAAGACAGTTGTGAGACTGTACGCTGCTTCACTGAGGCAGCATCGGCTGGTCTAATGAGGTGAGAAGGTTTAAGACGTGGTCCAGGTGATGTTTTCACTGCCTTTGACTAATAAAAGGTAGCTGATAAAGCACCATCTCTGTGCTGCGAGTGTTTCAGTCCACACAGCTTGGTTTAAACTCTCACCCTGTGGCGTGTATTGGATTGTGGCTCAGCATGTTTCCATCTCCTCCACAGATGAAGAGACGGGTCTGGAGGTGCATCAGGTAACTCGCCCTCCAGGCTTCAATGCCAACCGGCGCCGCAGCAGAGCTGTTCTCTATCACCTGTCGGGACACCTGCAGAAACAAGACAAGAGCAAGCTCAAGATCAACAATGTAAGTTTCTCTGCAGCTGTCTGCGCTGCTTCATCTGTAAAAAAGGGTTTAATCTACTTCCCCCAAAGACTGGACGAACTTTGTGCCAACACAGGTTCATATTTTTGGAGTAATAACATGTTTGGTTGCCAGAAGATGTATTGCATGCCAGACCAGCACCGCACAGCCTCACTTGTAATCATTATTTTTACTTTTGAGACTTTTGCAGTGATGAAGTCACGGAGGTATGGCTAAATATAGAACTAGCCAAGCTTTAAAAACCCCTACAGGTTGTTCAACAACAAACAATCTGTTCTGAAGACATTTCCAGATTCTTCAAAGACTCTTTTATCCTGATGGAATAAAAGTTAGTTGCTGCTTTGTAATGAAAGAAGTTGGTTTTAATTATTTCCCAAGTTGTTTCTTTAACCAAAAAAGGAGGCCCAGCGTTGTGGTGCAGACCTGCTGCAGCAGCTACAGTGGGCAGCACACACACACACACACACACACACACACACACACACACACACACACACACACACACACATACCCTGACAGATGGTGTGGAGGTCATCTGAAGTCTGCTCACTAATGTTTGACTTTGAGGTAAAGAGTTCTGCATTTCGCTGAAGTCAGTGGTAAAACAAACATGCAGATCTGTGCAGTTTGCATCCTGAATGTGTGACGCCTGCTTAGGGGGCATTACTTGTTCTCAGTCAGGATAGAAATTTTTATTTTTATTATTACCAATGACAGTCTGGATTCTTCTCATCAATCAGATTCTTTATTGATTCCCTTCGTGATTCCTGATCTATTTTCTGCTTGGAATAAAAGTAGACCTTCTCAGGTTTTCAGTGTCGACGCAGTTTTATCATCTCTGAACACAGTGCACAAGCAGAGTAGAAAAAGGCATGCATCTATCTCTCATCTCTGCATATATCTCTTATCTCTGTAACAGACACGCTGCTCGGTTTAGAAGCAGGGGCACTCGTGTAGAGTTTCAAATACATGGCATTCCTGAAACTGAAGCCAGTGTTGCGTAGAGAGATGTTTCAGTATACTGCTGCTGTTTTCACCTTCACCTTAAATGATCATTTTACAGACAGCAGCACCGCAGTCATCTTTATTTGTGAGATGGAGCTTCGTTCTTCCTCATGATTCCTTCTTGTTGTGAGCTTCCAGCAGTGTAGACGCACGTATTCGAGGTCATCGTTTTGCCACATACAACCGTCAGAAAAACATGTTTGCATGCATTTATGAAAGGAAGTAATAAGGTTGGAGGTTTACAGTTCCGATGGATCGGATGATTCGAAAGCTGTTCTCAACTGGAAGCAATTCTCAATCCCATCCCTAGTTTTTAGAGATCATCATTTTAGGTTTTTGTTTGGCTGTCTCTATTATGCCTCCACGCCATCGGTAGCAGTGGCCAGAGGCATTAGCCCTTTTTATACTGCCTGTTCAAAGCCGGAATATTGCGCCATTATGCCACCTCACCATTCTGTATATAAGGTACAATCATGGAATGGGGGGACGGAATTGTCTCACCTGTGAGCCGGGAATGGAGGTAGTAAAAGCGCAGAAACGGTGTCTTTATAAATCGGACAGCCAGCAGGAAGGGTTAATGGGTAGCATGAGTGTGATGTTTTGAAACCGTGTTATGTGTGCCACCTACTATGGGAGAGTTGAGCAGTTAGCAGCTAACTCAAAGAAGAAGAACAGCAGCCAAAATGTCTGCCAATTGGGAAACCAATGGGGTCCAGGAGCTCCTTACCCTCTGAGCAGAGGACGAGGTCAGGCACCATAGAATAGAGATGGTTGATAATTGTTATTGCCTGTTATGCCATTATTATTGTTTTATGAAGCGCTGCTGACACATATGTTTTAGCATCTCGACACCTTGAGGGAAATCCTTCAAATTTGGCGTCCCCTTCAACTCAGCAATAAACCAATTAGATTTTGGTTGTCTAACGTCAAGGTCACTGTGACCTTGCACCTGTGTCATTCTCGTGAATGCAATATCTCAAGAAGGCCTTGAGGGAGTTTCACCAAATTTGGCACAAACATCCACTTGGAGTCAGCATTGAACTGATTAGAATTTGGAGGTCAGTGGTCAAAGGTCAAGGTCACTGTGACCACGCAAAACATGTTTTGTGAGGTCCTAGTCTCACTCACCAGACCTTGCTCAAGAAAAGAGAGGTCTGGCTGGGCCGACTCTCACTTTAAGATTGGAGAAAAAAACGCCCCGGCTGCTTGTATTTCTTTCAACCAATCACAATCGTTCTGGGCGGTGCCACAGCAACGGTGCGCTTGCAAAAATATTGCCGAGGGGAAACAGGTTTTGGTGTAACACGCCCACAAAAATATTGCCTACAGGAAACGAACCATGGCAGAAAAATGGCTACATCCCTGCAAGATCAAAAACTGCAAAAGTTAGTAAAGGACATGTTGAAAACTGCAACACGACGGAGGTGGTAGGGCGAGACTTGTTCCGGCCTATGAGAGGCTGATCTATGCAGTGAACTTCTGCCCACTCAGACTAGTGAGGTCACAACTCAAGAATTCATATTCTAAATATGACAAAATTGCATACAAATGTCTAGTAGGAAAAATTATGAAGTGATGACATATATCCAAAAGGTCAAAGGTCAACGTCGCTGTGATATCATAATGTTCCGCAAAAAAACTTTTTTTTATTCAACGTCATGTCTCAGGAACAGAAGGGGAGACATTTGGTCAGATACTGAATCTGTGACGCTAATTTTGGGTGTCCACCTTAAAACTGTGCTGCTGCAAATCTTCTGGGCCGTCAGGTTGAAGATGTGTATGAAGCATCCATGTTTTCACAGACATAGATGTAAACTGTAAGTGCAACTTGACTGATTGACGAACCACGAAGAGGTAGTTCCAGTTTTGTATATTAAAATGGGTGAAGATGTGTGTGAATAGATCAGTGATACTAACATCCAGGTGGAAATCACATTATATAGTTACAATATGTTGCACAAACATTTTGTAGTTTAAGTTGTTTTAGACCTTTTTTAAATTAGCAGCTCATTTGTTTTTCCCTTTGTCTTCACTTTCTCTCAACAGAAGCTTTTCTTTGAGGTGATCGTTGCAGTATTACCCTGTTTACAGTAAGCATTGTCTTCAAGCTGGAAACACAGAAACTTTATGATTAATGAGAACATAAAAGCAGAGTAAAAATAAGATTAAACCTCTCCGCACCTCTCAGTGACAATACTGTATATGTGCAGGCTAATTATCCATTTATTTGAAACTAATGTTCCCAATTTTCTCCTTCATTGTTTCATTAAGTAATGAAAAACATTTCCCACAGTATAACACATGATTTTTCTGTCTGTGTTTTTTTTTTTTCCCAATGCTGAATCAAAACTCTGCAGTTTAACACAGTTAAAGTGAGTGAGGTGCTGTTTCTATGGCTGCGCTGTGAGATCAAGTGGAAAACTCAAAGTGTCCTGTGAATCATTTTATATGGTATTTATACACACTGTAATTCTCTGTGACATACAGTTCAGTACTTGTACTTGGCATTGTTGGAGACCTTGACTGGAGTTTCTGTTACACTTGTGTGGGTCTTAATGCCTCTCTGCACAATATAAGCTTGAAGAGGTTTACTGAGAGTGTGTATAAGGACATGATTTCATGTGCAGGAGTAAAAAAAAGGTGAAAAGTAATAGAGGAAGGGAAAATGACGTTAACCTCTGTCACCCCCTGTCGTCCAATCCAGAACATGTTCGGGGAGAAGCCTCCGATCCCGGAGTACAAGGTAGCAGCCATCCAGAAGTCTCGCTTCATCCTGCTTCACTATGGAACCTTCAAGGCCGGCTGGGATTGGTTGATCCTGCTGGCGACCTTCTATGTGGCCGTCACTGTTCCCTATAACGTGTGTTTCACAGTGGTGGGAGGGCGGGATGAAGGGAGCAGCACAGCCCCACGGAGCCCACCCAGCGTCAGTGACATCCTCGTAGAGATTCTGTTTATTTTAGGTGAGAGAACGTGCTGCATTTGTTAAAAGAGTCTGTCACCCACAAAATAATCATTTGTTTATTAGTCAGTCACACTGTGTTACATTGAAATCATGGAGAAAACTTTGTTTTTCTCACCTGCCTCCACGGTGAACGAAAAATCCAAAAGTAGAGAAAATTCTTGATGAACTGGAGAAAGTTGGGGCTCGATTAACAACAGCAAAACAATATAATAACATCAGTTTCCAAACTCTCGCACAACTCCAGCAGTGTAGAGAATCACAGAGCATCTGGCATCATCAGGCAGTCGTTCATCAAAAACATATAAGTACACCCAAAAGACAAACGGCCATATAAAGAAAAGCTCTCGACAGAGGCAAAGGAGCGAAATATTACAAAACTGAAGGTAGTTAATAATATCAATCCTTACAGACCGTGGCAGCTTATTACCTATTAATGTTACAGTCCCTGATGTCTGGATGATTTGGTGTTTGACCTTAGTGCCTGCACCTGTCAGCAGTTCAGAAACTTTAAATCTATGGATTTTATATCTGTGGCTCATGTCCAATTTACAAACAGGTGGGTAAAGTTACAGGACCTCCAGATCTACAAGCCAAATACACAACTACACAGTTATTCAGACAAAGATAAGCTAGCTAGCTACAACGTTAGCCTACCTTTGTGTCTGACTGTATACTATATGGCCTCCAGTTTTGTAGACCGGGCGAGGCAGAGGCGCAGCACACCTGCGCTTCTGCGCACCTGCGCTTCTGCGCACCTGCGCTTCGCCAACTGGGTGTGGCCAGGCAGATTTTGCAAGTTTGGCACACTGTGCGCGCTGGCGCAGCTACTCCTCTTTCCCACCTCCATCCCTTCTACCTGCGCAAGTTGGAAAGAGGGAGGAGAGAAGGCATGGAGCGAGTTTTACACAGCCGATTCACATCACACCAATCAAATGAGCCCCTCTCCTCGCCCTTAAATGCACCGCGCGAAGGCGTAATGAGAGTTTACTCAATTCGTCATGGCAGAAGAGAGCAGCAGCGTCAGACGGCCAAACTTCTCCCAGGAGGAAACTGATGTTTTGGGCCGGGAGTCCAAGCTCGCAGTTCCGTATATTCGAACATTGCGAGCTTGGACCTCCCGGCCCAAAACATCAGTTTCCTCCTGAGAGAAGTTTGGCCTCCACGGGCTGATGATGCAAAGGTAGCCTGGGAGGAGGTCACCACAATTGTAAATCAATGCTGCGTTTCTCTCGTGTGTGCGCTCTCTCTTTCTGTCTCGCAGTCTCACTCTGTTTCTTTTCTTTTGACTTTTCTAAGATGACAGATGCTGAATATATACTCCCTATCTGATGCTGTGGCTGTTTGTGGTTGGCTGAGAGGGATGTGAACTCATTAGTTTGCAGCTGTGTTAATCAAATCAGGTCGGGTTTCCATTACGTGTGCCAAACGTACCAAACGGTGCCAATCCCCTTTGATCTGACATCAGATGTGACGGGACAGTCGATATAGAGATACATTTATGTGCTGATTGCAGATAGTTGCATTGAATAGTGGTTTGTGGGTATTTATTGTATTGTTAATGTGCCTGACATTCTGGAAACCTGACTGGTGAGCTTTTAGCGCACCTTCGGCGAAGCCTTTTGGCATGAAACTGTCACTGCACCAAGCTGGATCTGTCGATACCTCCCCCTGCTGCACCGCCACACCCATCTCAGCGCACCTCGGTCTGCCAAACTACCAAACTGAGCGCGCCTCAGGTTGCGCTGCTCGAAACTAGCTCTGCGCGGGGTTCGCCACCCTGCGCCACCCTGCGCTGCGTCGGGAAACTAGAGGCCTTTATCATAAAACTTCAATTAATAGCCCAGGCTGTTATTTGCCTAAATTACCAAACTCAACAGGCTTAAATACGGGACAGGCCTTTAATTCCTTTAAATCCTTCCAAAATGGCTGACTCGCTGTGAATGATGACATCATCCCGCTCCCTATAATCCAAGTCTCATTCATCCAGTCATGATCATTACCTCCCCAACTCATAACTCATTTTCACACAAACATGACTATCATGAAAACATCCCTGCATTTAAACTTTGCTCACATATTCAGTTGAGTAGAGTTCAAACGCACGCGCTTGCCTGGTCGCACTACTTGTCTGTGCATACAACTGTTTGTGTGGAAGGGTTTTAAACAGTAAGGTGTTTGCGAAAATGTATGTGTTCAGGAAGGACTGAGCACACAAGTTGAGAAGTGAGACTTGGATTATACTGCACAAGTTGTGCATGGAGGTTTTGTTATCTCAAGGCAATTGAATCGAACGCAACTGGACTTGGTTTTGTCTTAGAAAGGTAGAGAGGTTAGAAAGGTAGAGAGGTTAGAAAGGTAGAGAGGTTTTGTTGTTAACGCAGACCCCTTTCCTTCAGCTCATCAAGAATGTTTGCTGTTTTTGGATTCTTCGTTCACCACAGAGGCATGTGGAAAAAACAAACTTTTCTTAATAAATTCAACCTAACACAGGGTGAGTTATAGATATACAAATAGTCATGTTTTTGTGTAAGGTATTCCTTTAACAAGGTTCACTCTGCAAGGTACTCGTTCCACCAACATGTGTGCCACGACATGTTTTAAGTGCAGAGTCAAATTAGAAAATCATGACAAATCTTCTCACAGAGGACACACTGTCTTTTATCAAACATCAGCGCTCTCTTCAGTATTTAACAAGACTCAGTGATTGTTCATCGATGTATTAACCGCCTCTGATGGGAAGTCAATAAAACAGCCTGTCTCTGAGAGGCTCATCAGTCACAATGAAAGTTTAGTTGAAGTTTTTAATGATGCACACGCAGCAGTGAAAGGATATGAGCCATTCGCCAAAGACCATTACGTCTCATTGCTAACTCATTTCCTAGAAAACAACGGGCCTGTCTGTCCCCACTGTTGTCCATCTAACTGTAGGAGCGTTATAGGAGCACTCTTCAATGGACAATTTGCCTTAATGGAAAAGAGTGAACACGAGGCCTCCATCAGCAAACTTCTGCAATGAAATTATACGAGCCACCCGCAGTTAAAGGATATCCTGTTTGTTAGGACTAATAGGGCAGCGTGTTTGTCAATACGTTCACTCAGAGAGCTACAGTGGAAGAGTCTTAATGTGACACCAGCCCTCAGATGTGTTCATTTCTGTTCCTAAGCTGCTTTGCATCAATTATCTACACCCCAGAGATCCTTACTAACACCTGAGACATGGAATAGCAGGTTGTCTTAAGAGGTATGCATGTGGTTTCGTCATGTTGAAGCCAAATTGCATGTAATATACCTTACCTTCTTGTCTTCCAGACATCTTGAAAACAACCAGTGATTAAACATAGAGGTCAAAGAAAAGGTCATCTTCAAAATTTAGCTGTTTCTTAAATTAGAAAGATTTCAGTAGGTCTCTGAGGTTTCAGATGTCAACATCTTTGAATACAACAACTGGAAGAGTTTAAAAAACTGTCCTGCCTTACAACTTTGAAACCTTAAACATTCAAAAGTAAAAAAAATGTAACTGTAATAGATCACAGGATGTCTCGAGCAAGTTCAGAAGTTTCAACTTGAAGTTTCAACTTGAAGTTGAAGAATTGAAGTTTTCTGTTGAAATGTATACACAAATGCTCATTTTGTGAGTCAAGTATTTCTTTTATGTATATTAGTAAATGTTAGTACTAACACATTCGATCAGTTCGAAGCTGTTTAATGAACTTCTGACTTTCTTTCTGTTGTTTTCAAACTTAATTTGATTCACTGAACAACCATCGCTCTGTAATTTATTCATTATCCTGTAACACTCATTTGTCACTGACACCTGCGTCTCCTGTTGCCGTCGACCTCTGCAGACATACTGCTGAACTTTCGAACCACTTTTGTGAGCACGTCGGGTCAGGTCGTGTACGACGCCCGCTCCATCTGCGTCCACTACGTCACCACATGGCTCTTTGTCGACCTCATTGCTGCCCTGCCCTTCGACCTGCTGTACGCTTTCAACGTCAGCGTGGTGAGTGTCCTCTGTGTGTGTTTGCATCAACAAAGTGTGTGACTAATCAACTTTTTTGGAAAAAAAAGCACTCGTGGACAAACACTCTGTCTCCTGCATTCATTATCCACACCAACACACCCATGGCAATAAGCCAAATTAGGAGAAAGAGAGAATGAATGCATAATGTTGTCCGCTCCCTCATGAGTTTTTTAGATGAACAGTTCATCCAAACTGATGCTCATTAGACAAACAAATGGCACCGAGCCAATCTGGTGTTGGTGCTCACGCGCTGCAGGTCTCATTAATTTGTGTTTCCATGCTCAGAATCCTGAAACATGACTCAAAGTGCAGCTAAATTACTACACATGTATGCAAAATGAGTTTTTAAATTTTAATTTAGAGTTGAAAAATGTTCGATTTCATTTGAAGAATATTTTAAAGATCCGTCTTTTGGATTAACTGTCAACTACACTAACAAATTATTAACAGCACATGATGAAGGGATAAAAATGTATTCAGTAATTTAGTTCCTTATGTATTATAATGACGTGGTGTGTATGTATCTGTGCAGTACTTTGGGGTCCACCTGTTGAAGACGGTCCGGCTGCTGCGGTTGCTGCGGCTGCTGCAGAAGCTGGAGCGATACTCCCAGTACAGCGCTGTGGTTCTCACTCTGCTGATGTCTATGTTCGCCCTGCTGGCCCACTGGATGGCGTGCGTCTGGTACTTCATAGGCCGCAAAGAGATCGAAAGTCCTGGCTCCTGGGACATTGGTGAGTACACACCCACACACACAGTGAAGTACATTTACTCAGGAGCTTTACTTAAAGGTGGAATCAGCAAAAAAAAAGATTGTTGATATTTGCACCCAACAAATCCAACCCTCTCGCAGTGATGCTTCAGAAGCGCCATTTCACCGCACCGTCCCTCTCGTTCCCTCTGCCTCTGTCTTTATACATCTGTCATCTTTCATCTGTCCTGTGCTCGAGCAAAACACGATGGTGCTGTGTTGCTTCGTCCAAGCCACTTTGTTTGTGTCCCATTTACAAATCCAGGGTTGTGTATGAGCACTGGATGTTTTTAGCACACACAGAACAATAGTAACCTGATTGCGAGGATACATTCACTGACTGTGTCAAAAAGAGTATTGGATCAGAATTTAGAAATTAGAGGTTTTCAGGTACATTTACTCAAAGGGATGGTTCAGGTTTTTTGAGGGGGTTTGTATGTATATATGTATGTATGTATCTATAGATGGTATGTTACATACAGTAGATGTAAGTTGGCACGTTGCCAGTTTGGAGAAGCAGACTGGAGTTCACTGACGGGCTCCGCTGTCTGTGGCGTCGATTCAGTATGTTGGACGGGCTAAAAGAAAGCTGACAAGGGCCAGTGGTGTGGGACACATCACAAAGACTAGGGCAACAGACACTTAACAACGGTCCAACATTGACCAACAGCTGATCGTCGGCTTGGTGTGTCAGGGCCTCAAGCCGTCCTCCCAGAAACACCCAGTCTGCTCTGATTGGTCAGCATTTCCAGATCTTCCACATCTCAGTGTTTCTGCACCATCATTACAGCCAGGTAATGACTTTAACAGAGAATAGCTGCACTTTTCTACCAGGAAACATCACAAATAAAAGCTTCTAAACACCACTGGACTTGCTCCCTTTAACACTGCCAGATTTTCGGCGAATGTCGGGCCGTTTTGTCGGCAAGCTGCGAGCGTTTAGATACATAGAGCCGGATTGGCAAGTTGATCCGATTTTCCGCCTCGTAGGGTAGACATATTGGCGGAACCCTTTTAGTTTTAACAGACCGAGGCGGCCTTTTGCTGCACTCCCCAATTTTGTTTTTATACTGCCAATGCTGAAAAAAGACTGATTGGGCTTTCCTGCAAATTTGCACAATTCCTATCTAAAAAGGGCTCATGTTTCCCTGATGTTAGCACGTAGCTACATGCAGCATAGTATGTACTGTGGACTTGCAGTCATGTGCCTTGTGCAGATGACCATATGAAGAAATCTGTCACGATTTGACATGAGCATGTTAAAGTCTGAAAACTGTGAAACAGAGTGTTCACAATGGTCTGCAGCCTGAGGTCTCTGCACACGGAATATGTTTCATAAGTTTACCTCATTATTTGAAACTTAAGCCACATTTAACATGAACATCCGTCATTGTAGCATTTTATATGTGGCAGAAAACAAGGGAAAGCATCGCAGTACATTTTGTTGCTAAAACCTCTGTTCTTTTATTCAGGTAAAATGTTGACTTTTTTTATTCACAGTATCTTTAATGCCACTTTGCCACACGTTGTGTTTAACATCGTCACCTCACTGTGAGAAGGTTGTGGGTTTGAACCTATCAGCCAGCTGAGGCCTTTTGTTTGGTGTTTGAGTGTTCTTCGTCTGCCTGCCTGGATTTTCTCTGGTTTCCTCCCACAGTCCAAAAACATTTTGGTTACATTAATAATGGATGTAAGTGCTTCTCACACACTGATTTACTGCACACATCCCAATCAGTGAGGCTGCTTTACTAATGATCGCTTGTTGCCGTGTTGTCAGGGCCAGAAAAAAGGTTCCTTTTTAGGTATTTACGGTAAACAGTGAGCTCCTCACATCTAAATTTAGAGTCTGTGTGGTGGGAGTGGTGGAAAATTCCTCTCTGAAAATGCTTTGTGGTCCACTTTCTCTGGGCGGAGGGCTTTTAGTGTACACGTTTTTAATTGTCATGTACTGTAATATCCTGCCAGACGCTAAAATTTCATTTGGGCAAGTAGAGCAGAGCTAATATTGGATACTCTATCACTCTTCTCAATTATACTGTAAGCTCTGTCCTCGGGAAACATTTTTAGTGTTCCCAGATGCAGATTAAATGAGATCGTATCTTATTGCAGCCACGCTTTGTGGTTCAGTATGATGGGATGTTCAGATTCTCACATTAACAGATCGCCTTATTCAGCTTTAACCATTTGCACATTCACCTACCTCGTCTTGCTTGAAAGACAGATCCGAGGTGACACTTACACACCTCAGCAGAGTTATGTTGGTAATTTTGTATCCACAGCGAAGGCACAGAGGCAGTTATGCACAAGGACGGCCCCCACGTGGATCAATTTTCAGCACGACCGATGCTTTTAATAAGACGCAGCTTTGTTGATATTCCACAAGCGTCTCTCAGCGGAGAATCTCAAATCCTGCCGGTGACATGAAACTCTGGCGTATGATCTGATAAACCTGTAAACATGTACAAACAGACAGCTTCCAGTGGAGCTAACATTATTCCTTTTTGACTGTGAACTGGGGCAAAGATCAACATTAGACTTTGTGTGTCTTTAACTTTATTCTAAGTGAGCATCAGCAAAATACACACAAGCATGTTGTTGGGTCAAATAATGAACTGCAGATGATGTTTTTATGTCTCAGCGCCGGTCACAGCTGTGACTGGAGGCAACATGTTTTTAGGTTGTCTGTCCGTCCCATTCTTGTGAACGCAATATCTCAGGAATACCTTGAGATCATTTATTCAACTTTAGCACAACTATCCACTTTGACTTAAAGATGAAGTGATTAGATTTTGGTGGTAATAGGTCAAAGGACAAGGTCACAGTGACCTTGCATTTGTCTCATTCTCATAAATGGAATATTTAAAGAACACCTCAAGGGAATTTCTTTAAATTCGGCACAAATGTCCATTTTAAGTCAAGGACGAACTGATTGGAATTTGGACGAAGACTAAGAATTCTCCTGGTCGATCAACAGTCCTCATCAGGGTCCATCAGTGGACTAGTCTCCTGCATGTTTCTCATATGAATGTAATGATTAAATGATATATTTTGGTGGTTTGAGTTGAAGGTGTGAGAAAGAATAGTGTCAGTAACATTGTTAACACTGTGCTACATTACAGAGAAATACAAAACCGTACTAATGAACCTTCATTAATATAGGCCTATATTTTATCTCCAAGTGCACATCACACACTGAGCGTGCCGCCTGTTAATGACGCTGTGGGCTAATGGGCATGTAGCTACTTCCATGTTTCAGATGATACGTCATGTTTGTAGTCGACCAATGAAGATGAGTTTACATATCACCTTGGGTTCGTCCTTCACCTTCTCAAAATGATCCCACACTTTGGATTTCCTGCCCGACATGTTATTAACTAGCCTGTGGAATAACCGCAGGTACCAGCCCTGGAAATTAACCTGACTCCTGTCTGACTGCTGAGCGTGGACACTTCCTGTGTCTGTCCTTTCAAAGTAAATTCACACATGGTCCAGTCATATAGGTTTGGATTTATTTTGACAAGGCGCAGCTCCTCATAGAGTTTCACAAGGCCAAGTTTACTATGACCTCACATAACTGAGAAACTTATGCACTAATTATGACAAAATTTCTCACAAATGTCTAATACAATAAAATGAGGAAGTGATGGCATTTTATATTCTAAAGGTCAAAGGGCAACTTCACTGTTAAAAAGAAAACGACTTTTCTGGCAATTAATTTCAGGATCAAAAGCAGAGACATTTGGACAAATAATTGGTGACTCTAATCTTGGATGTCCACCTTGTTGATTGCGTTGCTCTTCTGTGCTGCCCAGGGGAAATGTATGTGAAGCATCCATGTTATCACAGACATTGATGTAAGCTGTAAGTGCAACTTGACGGGTTCGCGGAGGCATACCACTGCGAGGAGGTAAATTTAGTCTAAGCTATGGACCGGTCTGAGGGACACAATACGAGATGTGTACTCCTTTTCTCTCCCTCCATCTCTCCCCCTCTCATTGATTTGTACCAACCTAGCCGTCATTATCCTCTCAGCAAACCACATAATGACAGGAAGTAACACTGCAGTCAATTCATGTCAGCGGTCCCTCAATTTACTATTCAGACAGACGGAGAGAATCCAGGGGACAACAAAGACCAGTTTGCTGTCTGACCTTTTGGTGACACCAACTGTGATTCACAAGAAAGGTCTGATATCGGCATGTACGTGGGTTAAACAGCTCCGTCTGTCCATCTGGTACTTGGGAGAGGTGCACTTCTCTCTGCAGGACTATTAATAATTCAGGGGCAGTGGAGCCAGGGCCGTCCTGATAGCCCCTCATGGAGCTGTAGTCACCACACACACACACACACACAGAGGACACAGTCTGAACAGGGGATAAAGAAGTAGACATGGTACATGCTGTCGTACATACAGAAGGTCTCTAAAGGAAGCCTTAAGGTCACAGTGAGCGCTGGAGTGTCAGTTGTATGAACAGTTTTTATTCTTCTCACTCTTATTGTTATATCTTGTATATTTGAGTTTCGCTCAGACATTGCGCCTGAACTTCGTTGTATGCACCAGTACAATGACAATAAAACAAATTCTCTATTCTCTTTGCTTACACCTGGTCAGAAAATCCAAATTTCTACACCACCTTGTACGTGCCTTAGAGGGACAAGCAGGCGCCAGCTACCACTGCTGCTGTCAGTCTCACCAAAACAACCCCAAATATACAGTTCCCTTCTTTAAATTTTTATATCTTCATTTTGAAAACGAACACAAGGACACACGTTTGAAAAAATGAAAAACACATCTCGCACCCCTCAGAGGGACTGCAGCTTTAGTTATAAGGCTGATGTTATTCTATAGTTTCCTTGTTTCCAACAAACTCCATGAAAGGACCAAAACTCTCCAACTTCCCGAATGTCACGAATATATACTTTATATATTTTTTATTATACTTTTTTTTCTTTGAAGGTTTAGTGATTTCCTAAATCATGTAT